AGTAAAAAAAACAGAAGTGTGTGAAGGGAAACTATGAAGGTACAAATGAGCCCTTCGATAATCACCTCCGGCTCCTTCAAAGACTCGATCGAGGGGAGGGTATCTTTCATCCGAAGAACCCCTCGGCCGGAACTGCCGGAAGCCAAGGCTAAGCAATTCCTCGGGGAGGGTGACGTCCTTAATCTTGACGTGCTTATCAGACCCCTCCGGTTTCTTGGCAAGCACTTTGCCATTCTTCTCCAGAGCTGCGCTCCCTACCTTCAGGTGGCGCCGGAAGCTGTTGCGGAGCTGGGCCGGGAAGGGGTTCTCCTCGAGACGAATGTAGCAGAATCTCTCCTTCCACCCCTTGTGGGACGAGGGCACGTCGTCAAAGAGCCTGAACTCCGGTACCTGTTGAAGGTTGGCAAATCCCTCGGCATTTGAGTGCCCCCCCGGCATAGATTAAAAGACATGAAGAACTGGTCGAGGGTAGGTTCAACCCCCCGGCTCTGGCACAGGGAAAGGAAGCCGGCCACGTAAGAGTGGCTGGTGGGCGTTAGCTGGCAGGGGGCCAACCCCACGAACCTCAAATACTCCAGCAGGAAGGGATGAAGCGGAAAATGAAGCCCCATCTCCACCGAGAGGGTGTGGACAACAAAACACCCTTTCGGGCGCATACCGCAACAGATCATCTGCCCTGGGCTCCACCACGCGCGCCGAAGGACCAACCAACATCTGAGTGGCCTGGTATTCTGCCGGGGACGCCCTCGTCTTCAGCTCCAGGGCGGCGGTGTTCAGGAACGAGTGGCCCTCGGGTATGCCTACCGGCCGGCCGGCGTCAACATCCGCTTGTTTCTTCCTCGGGGCCGCCTTCATCTTCTTTTTCTTCCCGGGAGTCACACTGATGGGCGTCGGGTCCAATGGCCGGGAGGAGCTGGCTTCCCCGGCACCACGAGGGGGAAGAATGGCGACCGTCACCTTCATCCTCTCCCTCTCCTCTTCTTCTTCGACAGTTTGCACGGCGAGGGCGAGCTCTTCGTCCTCGTTTTCTTGCTCGAAGTCTTCGGCTTCAACTTCGGCCTGGATGTCTTTCTCCACTTCCATGGCCACTGCAGCATCACCACCCACCGAGGACTCCACGCTCGAGGACTCGACATCTGAGCACGTCTCCATCTCGACCGAAGGCTCACCCGAGATATCCTGGGAGTCGCTTTGTGAAGACATCTTCCCACTAGCCGAGGGCTCGGAAATGCTAAAGTATCCTAAAAATTCTAACTCCTAGCCTAAGGGCACAGGGCACAGCGAGCTAGGAGGAGAAAGGCAGGGGGAACTAACCTTAAGAGCTGGGAATCAACCGAAGGCTGGAGTTTCTCTCTCTAGAAAAAATTCGGCAGAGCTTCGCTAACAAGATTTCGCACAAGGGGAAGTTTCTGGCCTTGGGGTATTTATAGGCAAAAGGATCCGGGCTTGGGCCTGGAAACCGGGCCTCCGGTTGGACTGCCATCATTACCAACCGTGGTTTCACCCAATCGGTGACGCCCGCCCACGGGCAGCCAACGAGCACGCACCACGTGGCAACCCCCCCAACGGCTATATCCTGACGTTACATATTCCAACGGCTATATTTCCAACGGCTATATTCTGGGAGCCCCCGGGCTTTTTACTTCACTCCGCTGCATCAAGGAGAACCTCCGGGTACACTTACCCGGAGACGCTACCGGGTTGTGCCCCACACAGTACATAACAGATGCCTTCGGGATCAAACCTTCAGAAGCCTAAGGCTTCATATCGGGCACCCCTCGGGGATCCCCCCTCAGTACTTTGAGAGCCGGGTAGCCCCCGGGGAGTATGCCTCATTGACGGATCACCTACGGCACACAGGTAAAGGGACCCCTCAGATATCCTCATCACCAACTAATCAACAAACAGGGGACCCCCCGGTAACAACTCGACTGCTACCCGCATTCATTACGCCCTCGATCCCCAGATTGAGGGACTCCCCTTCGGCGCCTCCCAGGACATCAACAACAAGCCTCCGGCTAATCAACACATGAGCCCTCAGAACAAGGAGAGCCTTCGACATTACCATTATTCTCCATTTTGAACCAAGGTTTCACATTTTCGATTCATCGTTGGGGGAATTCGGTGCACTCTTTTTCCCTCATTAGGATTTTTTCCCACGGGGTTTTTTCCTAATGAGGTTTTTAACGAGGCATCCCCCCAAAATGAAACGAAAAGCGTCAGCCTTCGGCCCAAAACAGCAACGCAACTACTCTACTCCTTTTCACCACTTTGCAAGTGCCTCAAGGAGTGGGGGACTGGAGGACCCCCTCGGGAAAAATCACAAAAAACACAAACATGACCCCTCAAGTCCCGACATGTGGGTAACTGAGGGACTGCCCTCAGCAGAATGAACAAACAGCAAACTACCCACAACTCTATAAACTACAACGGGACAACGGCAGAGGACAAACACAATTACTCCTTTTCCCTCAAGTACCTTTCGGCAAAAAGAGTGAGGGACTCCTGATGGAGTATATGGCCCGGGAACCCCCGGCCCACAGACTCCTACTACTCCAATCAAGGCCCAACAAGCCCAGAAGGCCCAACAGGCCCAAATCACAGCGCCCAGAGTACCAATCCGCCCGCAATACGCACCAGGGATGCCTTCGGCCCCCCCTGGCCGAAGGCTCTAACTCTCACAGGAGGGCCAGGACAGCAAAACAAAGTTACTCGAAAAAACGGCGAAAATCAGTAGCCCTCGGCACCCGGAGCCCTCGGCACCAAGAGGGTCTCCTGTGCTCAGAGCCCTCGGCCAGTCCTCTACAGTCGAGGGCGCCTCTTCCGACACGATATCCGCTCCACATGCGTACAGATCACCGTACCCTGTACAACGTCCCATCCAACAGCCGCATTAAATGCGGCCACATGCGTTTGCCAACACCAACCAGTTGAGATGACCCCTCGGCCAATGAACGTTTGACACGTGTCCCTGTCCGGCATTTATTGCTACTATAAATAGCACCCCATCTCCCCATTTGTAACCACGCTGAAAACGCTCCACACTTTACAATATACTTTCTCTCTCTATACTTACTTGCTCTGACTTCTCTCTTATTATTCCCCGTAATAACCCCTCGGATAAGCTACCCCCGGGTACACTATCCACCATGTTGATTACCAGCACAAACCTGCTCAGGCCCAAGATAATGTCCAGACATAGTGGCGGAACCAGCTTCGTGATCTTGGAGGGGCACATTACCTCAGAAGGCTCGGCTCTTTACTACCTTTAGAAATCTGTGTACAAAATCGATTCATATGAATTCTTTGTCAAACTTGAGCCTGACTATCCACAACAACAAAAAATAACAAGCTCAGTACATGGCTATAGCCCAAAATACACAATAGCAAAGCCGCTACGCCAGTCACCTCAAAACAATAATGCTCTCGATCAGTCGCTAGACCTAGTGGTCGCCAGCGTTATTCACTTATTCCGGCGAATTTCAAATAAACTTGCTCAATGTAATCAACCCTCCAAGCTTCAACGTTAGTAGTCGAGCTCATAAATATATTACTCCCTTTGTTTTGTTAAGATTTTCTTACATTTTCTTTTCAGTCGGCCTCATTAACATTGATCAATATCAAATTTGATTGTGGTTCTAAATTATTCTTACATTCAAAAGTTGATTGTCGACCACCCTGTATAATATATATATAGAGAGAGTCATTCTCCTGTCCAGCAGCCCCTGGTCCAAAGTCCGAACGTCGTCCGAACACCGCCATTTAGGAAGGTTCCAGGTGTAATTTTTTCATGAAATATTTTGAGCAAGTTCCTCATCAAATCTAGTTTATCCATACCAAATTTAAGCTTAAATTTAGATCGGGAAGACAGTCAAACAATTTGTTGAAGTTATCTGCGCCAAATTATACATAGAAAAACGCAGTTAACTTCAAAAAATTATTTTACTGCCTTCCCGATCGAATTTTAAGCTGAAATATAATATGGATAAATTAGACTTGATGAGGAACATGCTCAAAAAATTTAATCAAAACATTCCACCGGAAACCGCCCCAAACAGTGTTGTTCGGACAGAAACGTGCTGGACCTGAAAATTTTTCTCTATATATAATAAAAAGAAATCTGCAGAGACGCAGGGGCACAAGCACCCCAAGCTGCTATAGTGTAGTTCCGCCCTTGGCCAGACACCCTAATTCGCTTCTAGCCGATATTTGGCACTCGGTAGCGGCCTCTCCACCATCCAAGACAGCCACTATAGCCTACAACCGACAGGCCGCTGGCAGCCGCTTCAAAGTTTGACCGCGACGCATTAATAAATTTGAAGGAGTTATCTAAGGGCAGCGGTCGGCGGTGAATCATTTGAGATGAACCGTGTCAAAGAGGCGCTCGGACCTGGGGATTTTCAGATGGTGAACTGCACAGTGGAGCTGGAATTGATGGACCAAGAGGGGCCTCTTCTTTTATCCTTCTTTATCTTCAAAAGAGAAGGAAATCCTATTGGATATGGAAAAGGTGTGACCGTGTGAGATTTCAATTTACAGAGATGGGCGCCGTAACATTGAAATTGAATGTGAGGGGAATAAAGAAGGCTGGTGAAAGAGATAAGAGGTGGGTGGGTAAGGAAATTAAGCATCGATAATTTCGGTGGGTGCGTAGGTGAGGTGCAAACTAGAAGGGCAAAGATGTCACTATTATGTTTCTATACATGGAAAGTGGAAAAACATTTTGGAATAATCATAATAGGAATTTTTTCAAAACAAATTGGGACGGAGGGAGTAGTAGTAGTAATAATAATAATAATAATAATAATAAACATTCAATCAGATGAAATGAGAAAGATTCACATCAAATAAGAACATATCAAAATGATTCGGATTAGATAAAAAAAATTTAGATTAAAACAGAACGAGTAAAAAAAATTCAGAACAGGTTCTAAAAAATTCAAAGTAGAAACATTAATATTAAGTAAACTGAGGATGAAAACAATCACTCCGTTGTAGTCTAGATGGTCAGGATACTCAGCTCTCACCCGAGAGACCCGGGTTCAATTCCCTGCAACGGAACCTTTTCTTCGCACTAAAATTCTTTTCGCACTCAATGAGTAGGATCACGGCGCTTTGTTTTGTCTCACGCCTGACAACTTGTGGTTCATCGCCACAAGTTCTCCCTCTCTAGGTTTTGCAAACTCTGAGTGAACAAAAAAGCAGCGACGATGGAGAAGCAAGGCAGAGGAAGGAGCAAGAGGAGAGGTTTGGAGGAGAACACGATGGCGATTCTCGACACCTCCGGCTTCAACCGGGACTCTCGCCACCGTAACGATGACCGTACGGTCTTCTATTCTGTTTCCTTTTACTCTGCCATATAGATGCGGCACCCTATGTGAATTACATCTTTTTCTTTTTATTTCAGGGCTTGCTTTTCTGGAAGCTGTTCGCTCAGCTTCTCTAGTTCCTGATGATGCAATTGCTCCTACTAAGTATGAATATTAATCTTTTTTTCTTGTCATATAATCATTGGAGCCTTGAAGGCACACAAAAATTGCCTTTTATTTTTTAGTGCACATTTTGGGTGCCACTGCGTACTTCGTATAAGTATAAAGTGGTTTGGTGATTTTGTCCTATTCAAAATTTCATTTGGATGGGAGAGACTATATTTATCCCTTTCCCGAAGCCCAAACATATTACTCCCTCCATCCTATTTTACCTTTCTTATTTTCTTTTTCTATTTTCTTTTTTGGTTGTTAAGAAAAGAAAAAAGTACTCCGTATTGCATTTCCTTTTTTGGTAGTACGTAGTATCTTTTTTTTCAAAAGTTAAAATTTCTTATGCCAAACCCACCATATCTCAAAAGGCAAAAGGCAACCATGTTTCATGTTGCACATACAACTCTGAGGACTACTTGCCCCTGCAATTCTTAATAGTGGATATGAGAAGTACTTATGAATTATGATAACATTTTTGTAATAAGTAGATTATTTATCTGTCCTCAAGCCCAAACTAGGCCTTAGGGTTTCTGCTCCTTGTTTGAGGGCAATCTAGCATTGAAAAGCATCATTATGTAATGTTCTGTTAGTTTTTAGTTGTCACTCCCTACGTGCTAAGAACAAAAGTGTCTTGTTTGTACTAGTCATTTTCAGTATTATAAACACAATTCCTTTTCTCATGGTCTAACTGTTGTTTAGTACTGATGAGAATTAATTAGTCAAATGATTTGGATGGTGGTATTAGATTTTTGAAAAGTTGATATAGTACTGCTCTCTCATTGTTAGGTTTCTCATGATGGTGGAGATATTATCAAATAGCTCGTTTTAGTGTACCCCAGCATTCAAACATGATCTTGCTTTTCAGTTTTCTCGATACAAAACCCGGTTCTTGATTTTTTTTTAAAAATGCAATCTTCAAGGCAATTTTGCACACCAGGAAGTATAAAAGGCTTCATGACCAAAGTAGAGCCTTTTTATTCTTCTGTTTGTTTTCTGTAAGGTCATTTTAGTCTTTGGATAAATGTCATCCATATAGAAGAATCTCTATTTTTCTTTAGCAGTTCAGTTTAAGACTATGGAGTTTCTCTACGGAATCTGTCAAGGATGAGTTTCACACTTTCAGTTTCATCTTTTCTATTTTTCAACAATTTAATTGAATTGCTACAGATGTTAAGGTATTCATTGCATGCGAACATAATTACTTCAGTTTATGTGTTTGCACAACTGTATCAAGCGCGCGCGCACACACACATATATACACACATATACATACATACATATATGTGTGTGTGTATATATATATAAAAGAAATATAAATATATATATATATAGGGAAGAGATCAAATAAAAAGAGTTTCTCCCGTGCAAAGTGCGAACAATTGCACTTTTTCTTCACCGCGTTGCACTTTTGCGTGTTTCTGTTTCACTTTTTCGCGATGGCAAAAAACTTCGTTTTGATTATGAAATTGCCGCCGCGTTTTTGATCAAATTTAGTTCACTTTTGGGTCATTTTGAGCCATTAGATCTCAAAATGAACGCACGAGATTAATTCTCACTTTGCATGGGAAGACCTCTTTGTATTTGAAACCTCCCCTATATATATATGTATATATATATATATGGAACGTTTCCGTATTCTGCACATTTTTGTGCCTTTTATTCTGCACTTTTCAATTTCACGTAATGCACATTTGAGCTTTACCTTTTATTCTGCACATTTCAATTTCAGCTGAAGCATTTCTCAGTTTCACCAAATGCACAATTCAGTTTCACATAATACAATCCAACGGTCCAAATTGATTCTCATTTCTCTCCTGGGAGTCCCTTCTCACTTGAATCGCTCCCTACACACACACACACACACACACACACACACATATATATATATATACACACCTTGAGTAGGAATCCCAAAATCAAGGGTTAAAAAGGCGGGTTCGGATATCGGCAGTTTGTTCCTAAGAGGCGAGGCATAAGCCTTGAGGCGTATTGAGGCGTAAGCCTCAAAATATATAGACATAGATAGTATAAAAGTTAAACTAGTAACAAACAACTAAAGATAGTTATATCCTATAGTTATAAAGGATATATCCATAATTATAAGTCCAAAAAGTGTGAAACACAAACACATATGAGCAATTACCGGCAAGTCATTAGAATTCAAACACACAACAAAAACATCACACCCAAAGAGTCGTATCACACTTAGTAACATCACACAAACAGATATATCCATAGTTGTAACAGCGGGGTTTCGCGGCGCGGCGCCTCCGGACTGCCATACCGCCATGGCGATATGGCGCCCTTCGTGGCGGCATCGCGGCGATAAGTCATACTACTTGTAACACTTATAGCCAATACTACTGATGAAGTAATAAAACATGTAATCATAAGAAATAACATAATCCTCAAGACCATAACTATAGGTTTGTAGTTCATCAAAGAAATCACAAACATGATCCATAATCCAACAAAATAAAGAAATACAAACCAATAAAATATTAAATAGAAATAATATAAAGCAATTAATTAATACAGGTTACTGACAACGAAAAAAGAAATACAAAAAGTAGGCAGTAGATAGTAGAGGATAATTCGGGAGCAAAAACAAGTCTAAAGTCAACCGATGTCTATCCCAAAACTGAAGCAAAATAAATACGCAATGCCTATTTGCAAAATACCGAAGCAAATACTCCAAAAATGCGACGACCTACAGAAATACCTGGCAGAAGAAGATGCTCGAGTCTAGATGTGGACAACGACGACCAACGACACACCTGATGACTCGAGTATGCGTTTGGGATGACGATAACTTTGGAAGTTTGGAGTCGCCGGATTTGCCAGATAGGTTAACTAGCCTTTTTTTAAAATTTTGATGGGTTATTGCTAATCACTTATCAAATGACTGGGTTTGGATTTGGGTTTGGGTTTGGGCCTTTTGACTTATGGCGTGTCGAGCTTCTATGGCGACCTGCCCAGAGCACCACGATGCCAAGGCGACGATGTAGCGACGCCATAACAACTATGGATACATCACACATGGAAACATCACACCTAGCTGAAAGATGAATAGAAAGTATACACTAGGGACTCAGGGTTTAAATGAATAAAAGAATTGTTAGGGTTTAAATGAAATAAGACTTGTTAGGGTTTAGTGTGACCACATGTTTAATTAATGGACTTCTATTTAAAAAGTACTCCGTCCCTTAAAACTTTGCCAACTTTCCTTTTTTGGATGTCCCACTAACTTTGCTACTTTCCCTTTTAAGTAAAGAATTTGTGGTTCTAGTTAATTCTCTCTCCTCTGCACAAACCTCAACCACACAGTTTTTACTTTATTAATCCCTGTGCCGGTCAAACTTGGCAAAGTTTTAGGGGACGGAGGTAGTAGAAACAAAGGACAAACGCCTAAACAAATGCCTCAGGACGCGCCTCAAGGCGTACGCCTCAACTTTTGAGGCGCGAGCCTCTTAACCTGCGAAAAAACCCTAAGCCCTGATACCCAATATGTACGCCTCACCTTGAGGCGCGCCTCAAAACCCGCCTCTTAAGCGCCTTTTTAAACCATGCCCAAAATAGCTTGGTTTACCAGTATCTTTGATAGTTAGTGTAGCTAATGTTTTGATAGTTAGTGTGGCTAATGTTTTGAACTCACTGGATAGAACAATGTTTGGAGCAATTTTTCAAATTCTCAAGGATGAGAGTACATCGGAACTTGTAGTAGCAAGCTATCAACTTTTAAATGAGTTGGATAAGGTATCTTTTTCCTCCTCCTCTTCCGTTTGGTTTCAATTTTGTTTTTACTGCCTAGTGCCTATGTTTTTAGTTTAAGACCATTGTTTTTTAAGTAACATGCGTACTATGGGTGTCAAAAAATTTCCCAGCGTTTTCCTCGGGTGTACTTTCCCAAGATTGATAAATCGTATTCATCACCATCAACTAAATTTCAAGAACTAGTCTTGGTTGAAGAGGTATTATTGTTTCATTTGTATATTTTGTCAGTCTCGGATAAAATTTTATTACTTGCAGTTAATTCCCTTTATTGATGTCATCATGACAGATTTGGTCTCCATTTAGTTTTTGTTTGGATAGTGAAAAGGAGGAAATGAGTACTGACTCAGGAAGATCAATCAACCCCTTGGTAAGTTAGACATGCTATATCATCTTTCTTATGACATATGTATATAGAACATGTGCTATATTGGTCATGCTTGGAATTTAGCAGTTAGCGGTTATGTTAGCGGGTTGTCAATAGCGGATTCACTCAACGGGTTTGACAAGCGGAATAAGTTGGCGGGTTGTCAGAAGATGTTTCGTGATTTAGCTGCCTGGCCATAAAAATAGTAGAAAACGTCATTTTCAAAACGCTAACCCAAAACTCTCCTATTTGCAGCGTTTCCATTTCAGCGGTTCCCCCCAAAATGCTAGGGCCGGACAGCCAATTACCAAACAACGTTTTCATTTATTGAAAACGCTAAAAGTGGTTAAACTGTCATTTTTGGGCTGAAACGTCATTTTCCAAACACCCCTATTATTTAGTTCTACGGTTCTACCTTTTAATGCTTAGTTTTTGTTATATATGATTATATTCTATTGGTACATTGCTCTTTGGTGAACTTTGCATTCTGATCTTAGTTATATTATTTTGGCACATAATAAGTTATTTCTTTATTTATTTTGATTCTAGGACTTTCATTCTCTGGTGCAAACCATTGGTGAAGTGGTCGAGAAGAAGCCTGAGGCATCAGATATTAAGGTTAAAGTCTCTAAAATCGGATTTTATGTGTCTGTGTTTGTTATAAATGCTCTTACAATCAGCTCATGAGATTGTTTGAGAGGCTTGCATAGCCTCTAATTGTTTTAGTACCATTGTCATTCATGAAAACCTTCTTGGTTGATATCTTATGGAAAGCACATCACTTTAATTTCTCTATGCTCCGTAGAATCCACTTGGTCCCTTGGTGGGGTCCATTACAGCCTATATCGTGTGTCCAATGTCAACAAGGACATGGACCGATTGTTATTTTTATATCATCCTCATCTACTCTTCTGCTCGGTGAAAACTATCATTAAATGTAGCTAAATTGAATTGAAGTGTTCTGATTATATTGTGGTGAATGTGATGTATTTTGAAATCATCACCAAAACTTAAATATCTGACTTGATTTTATGGCAGGCATTTAGGAACATATTGTTGTTTCAGTATCTTGTAAATGTTCTTGAAAGAGATATGCTACCTCGTAATGGTGCATACAAAGGTACACTATTTCTAATTGGTCTATAGCATTATTATTTATTATACTACCCCTGTCCCCAAAAAGGGTAATGTTTGACCAATGTACAACTTTTAGATTTTGGTAAACTTAAACTTCCATAATTCATGATTCCAACTCTTTTCTAATTTTTTTGTTGGTTTAACTAAATTTGTTTTATTATGTCTACCTTGTGATGCACATGTTAGACGAGTTGAGAGGTGGGGAGAAAATGAGGGGAAAAGAGGGAAAGGAAGACTCAAACAAACGTGGATTAAAGAAGCTAGCAATTATATGCTACTTCTTGGATTGGAAGAGAGAATGACATTGGAAAGAACGAAGTGGAGGCAACATATTCGGGTGGGGGATTGGTCTCATTTAATCTATTCTATCTTTTTTATCTTTCTGATGCTCTTTATCTTTTTTATTTTTATCTTTATTTCTCATTTTTTATAACTTTTTAACCTTTTATCTTTCTTTTTATATGATCGTTTTTATCTTTTATATCCTTTTTAGCTCCGATATCATATGTCCATTCAGCTGACCCCAAACTCTTTTGAGACCTTTGTTCTAAAAATCGTTCTAGGCGCCCGATTAGTCCCCGCCTAGGCGCTAGACGATGGCCGAGCGCCCCGATTTTCGTCTAGACGCTCCGACTAATTGATTTGCCGTCTAGGTGATATAGTTGGTCGTCTGTGGCGCCTAGTTGTCCGCCTAGAGCGCCTAATCGGCCGCCTAAGTCGTCTAAATTTGCCGAACATTACTTTACTTTTTAATTTTAATTTTCTAAGCGATATATGTACTTTAACTTTAGCCATGTATATAAAGAAATGAAGTTGTAAATTAAGATAAAACTATATATGTTTGTATATATACCTAAATTTTATCATTATTTATATTTATAACATAATGAAGTTAATGATTAGTTATAATATACTACATATGATTAAATGTGATAATTCTATCATTCATGTTTGTTAATGTATGTGTGTGCGCGTGTGTATATATGTATGTATGTATGCATATGTATTTTATTCACACAAAAATACAATATCACTAAACATATTTATGCAAAAATATAGATAAAAATGCAATTTCAATGTCTCCGACTAGTCCCTGCCTAGGCGCCCGCCTAGCCGCCTATGTCTCTTTTATATCCTTTTTAGCTCCGATATCATATGTCCATTCAGCTGTCCCCAAACTCTTTTGAGACTAAGGCTTGGATGTTTCTACCTTGTCTATGACATATTTTAGAAAATCATCTGCAATGTCTGTTACGTTTTGTTGAAATATAAACTAGAATAATATTGAAAAGTGGAGGAAAGATTTTCTGTGTTTTTCATTAGAGGGTTAAGGCCCTATATATATGTTACAAAGATGGAATATACCTATATAAGATGCTATACAATAATAATGTCTAGAGTATATTCCTAAAGCATATTCTAGAGCATATTCCTAGATACAATAATACTTTCACACTCCCCCTCAAGTTGGAGCATAGATATTTATCATGCCTAACTTGTTACATAAGTAATCAACTCGAATCCCATTTAGAGCTTTAGTGAATAAATCTCCAAGTTGTTCTCCGGTCTTCACATACCCGGTAGAGATTAATCCTTTTTGTATGTTCTCTCGAATAAAATGGCAATCAACCTCAATATGCTTTGTTCTCTCATGAAATACGGGTTGTTTGCTATGTTTATAGTAGCTTGGTTATCGCACCACAACTGAGCATCATCAGTGTCTTCAATCCAATTTCATTCAATAAATGGTGTATCCATATTATCTCACATGCAGATTGTTGGACAGAATAATCTATTTTAGGTTATTGGACAGAATCATCTATTTTAGGCGCATAGTAATTGTAATTAATTGTAGAATTGTAGAATTATCTCTTGCCTTGATTAGAATTGTATTTAAGGTAGATTATCTTTTTGATATTGTAGATCCTTTTATTCTAGGGAATCAATTAATTCCCAGGATTTCCAGGATTCTCTCTGTACCTATTTAAGTTCGGTAAATGAGAAGAAAATTAATTCCGCCTATTTTCTTCTTTTATGGTATCAGAGCCGTATCGCCAACTTCCATTGCAGGCCTGAACTCGAGCGATATCAGCACCAGCTCAACTGGTGACTCCGCCCGAACCAAACCCTGTATCGCTTTTGATTCTATGCAGAATCTGGCGATTACCTCCATCAAACTAAATGGAAGTAATTTCCTCCCGTGGTCACAGTCAGTCAAGCTTTTCGTCCAAGGAAAAGGCAAATTTGGCTACCTCTCAGGAACAACAGTTCAGCCAGGCCCCAAAGATGATGGATATGAACGATGGGAGGCCGAGAATTCCATGATTATGTCATGGTTGGTGAACTCGATGGAACCAGAAATTGGCAGAACCTATTTGTTTCTGCCATCCGCGAATGCCATCTGGGATGCCCTAAAGGAAACCTACTCAGATTTGGGGAATGCTGGGCAATTATTTGAGATCAAGACACAATTGAGAAAGGCGAAACAAGGGGAGAAGAGTGTAACTCAGTACTACACTGATATCATGACTCTTTGGCAAGAGTATGATCTGTTTTGTGATTATAAATGGCACTGCCCGAAGGATGCTGCCCTCTATCGGAAAATTGTTGAAAAAGAAAGAGTTATCGACTTCCTTGCTGGTCTGAACAAAGAACTTGATGAAGTTCGAGGGAGACTCCTTGGCCGAGACCCACTGCCAAGTGCACAAGAGGTGTTTGCTGAGGTTCGTCGCGAAGAGAGTCGTCGACATGTGATGCTCAGAGATGAATCCACCTCTTTGCCCATTGAAACATCTGCACTGATGATCTCAAAACCAAATTTCAAGTCCCCACATCCTTTGCAGCAGTCTAATAAGAATCAAGAACGGCCGGTGTGTGATTTTTGTCACAAAATCGGGCACATCAAGGCAAAGTGCCGGAAGATTCACGGCAAGCCAGCTGAGTTCACCCCTTCCAACCGAGTCTCACGCAATACCAAAGGAGGCTTCCTCGCTGCATCTGGAGATCAAGCAAACACATCAAGCGACACCTTCTCCTTCACCAAGGATAGCCTAGAACAATTGTTTTAGTCCTGGAATACTCATCGGTCTGCTAATACCAACATCAATACTCCATATACATCAGTTTCAAATACCCCAACCTCAAATATCTCAGCCCATCCTTCATCATCTCTGGCGCAAAAAGGTATCTTAGCAGCCGCCCTTAGTGTAAGTTTAGAAAAATCCAACCCTTGGATCATTGATTCAGGGGCTACTGATCACATGACTGGGTCTTCCTACATGTTTTCTAATTACTTTCCTTGTTCGGGTAATCAAAAGGTAAAAATCGCAGATGGTTCCCTATCCGCAATTGCTGGAAAAGGTTCTATCATTATATCTCCGTTTATTACCTTAAACAATGTCCTACACGTGCCCAACTTATTATGCAACCTTGTGTCAGTCAGTAAACTTGCTCACGATTCTGATTGTGTTGTAAAATTTGTGTCAAATGGTTGTGTGTTTCAGGACCAACGCTCTGGGAAGACGGTTGGTAGTGCAAGAGAAAGTGGTGGACTCTACTATCTTGCTACTGACATCCTCTCGAGTAAACAAGTTCAGAAACCATGTTCTTCTAGTTTTTTATCCTTAGAGAATGAAATAATGTTATGGCACTATCGACTAGGCCATCCTAGCTTTGGTTATTTACGCCATGTGTTTCCTATTTTATTTAAAAATAAGGATGCTAATTCATTTCAATGTGAGATTTGTCAAATTGCTAAACATAAACGTTCTGTTTATCCTTCTTTGCCTTACATGTCATCTAAACCTTTCTCTCTTATTCATAGTGACATATGGGGACCATCTAGGATTAAAAATCTTTCTGGCACTAGATGGTTCATAACCTTTATTGATGATCACACTAGAAACACTTGAATTTATCTTCTTAAAGAAAAATCAGAGGCTGCAGAAACATTCAAAAGTTTTAACTCTATGATTAAAACACAATTTGGAGCTCAAATACAAGTCCTTAGAACAGATAATGGTAGAGAATTTTTTAATTGCACTCTTGGTTCGTTTCTCGCAGCCCAAGGCATTCTCCATCATAGTTCTTGTGTTATTACACCTCAACAAAATGGAGTTGCCGAAAGAAAAAATAGACATCTACTAGAGGTTGCCCGAGCTCTTATGTTTTCTATGAATGTTCCAAAACGTTTTTGGGGAGAAGCTATACTTCATGCTGCATACCTAATTAATAGGATGCCCAGCAAAGTGCTAAACTATCAAACCCCTTTGAAAACTCTACAATTATCATATCCTCTTAACAGGACTTTCACTGGTTTATCACCTAAAGTATTTGGCTGCACTAGTTTTGTCCACATTCATGATCTTAACAGAAATAAACTTGATCCGAGGGCAATAAAGTGTATTTTTTTAGGTGTTTCACCAACTAAAAAAGGATATAAATGTTATAACCCAAGCTCGGGAAAGATATTAGTTAGTATGGATGTCACATTTTTTGAAAACAAACCATTTTTTGATCAAACTTCTCTTCAGGGGGAGAAAGAAATAGGAGACCGATTTTGGGAAAATATTGTGTTACCGATTCCTCTTACAAATTATGATAATCAAAGTAGGGCAGCTGATGTTGAACCTGTCATACCTATTATTTCTACACCTCACAAAGGGTCTGAAATAATAAATAATGTGGATCCCACATCTGAACTACGTGTTTACTCGAGAAGAAAAAAGAAGCAAGGTACTGATTCAGTACCAACTCAAGCCGACCTATCGTCTGACCAAAGTATTGTTCCAGGTAACATCATTCCCACAACTTCTTTTCCACATTTCCTTGATCCTATTCTTGAGACTGAGACTGATTCCCATGACCATAATTCACCTCTTGATCTGAGCCTTAATGAACCTATAGCACTTAGGAAAGGAGTTCGTGAGTGCACCAAACATCCTATAAACCGTTATGTGTCATATCACCAATTATCTCCTACCT